CGGAACCGGGGGATGTAGCGCTCAGCACCGCGGAGAGCGGCGGGGCCGGGGGGGCCGGGGGGGCCATGGCCAGCGTGCAGCAGGGTGAGAAGCAGCTCTTCGAGAAGTTCTGGCGAGGCACCTTCAAAGCCGTGGCCACGCCGCGACCCGAGAGCATCATCGTGGCCAGCATCACGGCCCGCAAGCCGCTGCCCAGGTAAGGGCTGCCAGGGCACGGCGGGGAGGGGCTCAGGGACACCCCCCATTCTGCCTCCGGCTGGGGGCTGCACCACCCCGAGCCTCATCCTCACCTCCAATTAGTGCTCCCCCACCAGGAGGGTCTGGGGGGTCTCCTCCCCTCATTCCCAGTTAGGGGCTGGGGGACCTGGGGGTCCCCCCCCTTGCCTGGGGCAGGGGGATGTTGGCTGGCTGGGCACCCCCCGGGTAGGTGCTGTGCTCCGGAGGGGAGCAGGCTCAGGAAACTTTGGTTCGGCGGTGCTTGGAGCCCGGGAGCTGCCTGCATCCCGAGGGAAGCATGGCAGGGGCCTGGAAAGCTCTAGCTGGGCTATGGAGGGGGGGCAGTGGTGCGGGTCACCAGCCAGAAATTGTGGCCACCTCCATCCCTGCCATGCAGACCCCTGGCGTGTGTGTCCTGCTGGTTGCCTTGTCCCTGCATCGCCCCTTCACCAGGGACCCTCGGGAAGGTGGTGCCCGGGGAGGGGAACAGCCCCGCTCCAGCTGGACCCTGCCTTGGTGCCGGGGGGAGGCTGATGGGCGCACCCCAGGGACGCGCTGCCCGGAGGCTACGGCTGCCCCAGGAGCCTGCACACAGCCGTGGGCCAGGACAGCTCTGGCACTGCTGACCCCAGGGTGCCTGCTGCCCTGTCCCTCCCGCTCCCAGGGAGGCCGGTGCCCGTGCGTTTGCCAGAGGAAGAGCAATGGCCAAAACTCGTGAAATGAGGCAAGGGGGCTGCTCGTACCCCCCGAGCCGCTCAGCCCGGCTGTCACATGGGCAAGGAGCCCTGCGGCTTCCTTGCAACTATGTGCTCTCTAATTTAGACCAGTTTTATTTTGCTGACAGTCTCAATACTGGTTAAAAATATCCTCTTTGCACTGTTCTTATAAGGAAAGGAAGCTTTTACTGGTTCTCCTCTCTCTTCACTCTGTATTTCCACTGCTGGCTGCTCCCCACCCGGTGTGGGGAACAACCCAAAGTTTCATGAAGGCAGCAGGTCTGTAGAGGAGAGGGGCTTGGCCTGCAGCGGGCTGGGTGTTGGGGGATCAGCCTGTACTAAAGAGCAGATTGCTTGTGGGGAGCGAGCCATTTCGGATGCCTCCCGTGCCGGTGGAGGCTGTGAGCCGCAGCGGCGATGGGGACAGGGGTTCCACTGCTCATGCAATGGGGCTCCGGCTGCTCATGCAATGTGGGGGTCACTTTGGCCCCTGTGGCCCAGCTGCCCGAGCGTTTTTCCAATCTCTCCAATGACCACTAATCAGGGTAGGAAATTGGGAAAGGCACGGTTTAGGCTTCCAAAGAAAAGCAAATCTCATTTCCCTGGGCAGTGTTTGCAGGGCTTCAGCCTTCCTAAGGGAAAGGAACCACCGTGCCTTTCTCCTCCCCTGCATCGGGCTACGGTTGGCACCCAAAGGGGCCGTCAGCAGGCTGAGTGCTGGCTCACATATACACGCTCTCTCCTGCCTGAAAGTGCCTGAGTGAGCTGTGCTGCTTAAATATCTTGTAATCAGAGATGTAATAAGACAACAAATGAGGACATTGGGGAAATAACAGCAAGTCCAAGTACCAGGAGCAATGCACAGCTCTACATGGCAATTTGGATTGCCACAAATATCCTGGTCGGGCTGAGGACCACAGCTGGGAGCATTTGTAGCTCTGTTAAAAAGTTAACGAACGCGTGTGCCTCTCCATTTTGCTGGCGATGCCAGCTCCAGTGGGAGGGGAACCATCTGTGCAGGGGTCGGGATCTCTCAGCACACAGCAAAATGGACCCGCCAGCTCGGTTTTGCTGCGTTTTGCACCTTGGCACCCGCAGATCCTGCGCGATGGGTTCCCGACGCCGGGATGTGCTCCGCACAGCCGGCCGTGATGCTGCCAGGTCCCGGTGTTGGTGCAGCCCAGCTCCTTTTGTCTTCTTGCAGTGTGTGCCGCCGGCCGGGGCTGGGGGACGTTCCCCGCGGTGCAGCCATCTGCCACCACCCTGGCTACAGGTGTTGAGCGGGGGCAGCCGCGGTGGGGCTCTCCCTGGGGTCTGCAGGGCACTTGCTGCGCTCGCCCCTGCCCCCATGTCACAGAGGGGCTTTGCTGCTCAGGGGGCCGAAGCCAAAGGCTGGGGGAGCAGAGGGACTGTGGTCCCTTGGCTCTTCTCGTCAGGGCTGCCGGCTCAGCTTGCATCACGCAGGGCTCTGCCGGGAGCCCGCGGCTGCTGTCTTGGCAGGATCCCGCCTGTGAGATGCCAGAGCTCACATCTCCAGGCGTCTTGCAGGGGCTCCCCATCAGGGCACACACGGCAATGTCCCCAGCACCCCGAACCAGCACCTGGTTTGTAGTCCAGCAATAGCCAGAGCCGGGCTCCTGCTCCCTATCCGTGGGGAGAACAGTCCCAAGGCTTGTGGCAGCTCCTCTCGCAGCCGCCTCCGTGCCCTGCTCCACTCTGGGTTTGTTTTTCCTGAAGGTTTCCCTGCACCCGGATTGGCCTTTCTTCCCTGACGATGCCCCCGGCTAATTTAAGAGCAAGTGACTGCAGTGCCAGAGAGCAGAGTGCACCAGAGAGGAGACGGGGAGACCAGTTAGCCAAATGAAAAATTAAGATGACCATCTGGATTTCTGTTTTCTCCCACACTTGACAGCTGGTCCTCTGCAAGCGCCGCGGATCTCTGCCCTGGATCTGGCCCCACACTTCCTGCAGCAGTGGAGGCAATGGGCATGGTTTCTGGGCCGGTGCTGCCCATCTCCCCATCAGTTTTTCTGATTGAGCCTGTGCCCTTGGAGGGTGTAAAGGGGTTCAGCTGCAGTATAAGTGTCCTGCTGGGAACCCTCACAGTGGGCATAGCCCAAATCTGTCCCCACAGGTTGCTCTGGGCATGCCTAAGGGCTCAATCCTACATCCTTGTGGGGCAGCAGTGGGGTTCCTGGGGCAGACAGTGATTTTTTAAAAAATTCTTTTCTTCCCTCCTCTTCCAGCTGGCTCTGCCGTGTGCCCCATCCTTTGCCACCGCCTTGCTGCTGGTCCTGGAGATAAAGCTTCTTCCATCTAAATTCCCATCAAGCTGTCTGGGAGGTTTGGAGGGTTAAAGCTCTGCTAAACCCACAGTTCATCCTGGAACAAAAGAATACATTAATCCCTTTCCTGTGGGGCTGGGGGGAGGCATGTACTACACCCCTAGACGGCTTGGTGCCCAGAGCAGGGCTCTGCCAAAGTAAATGGATTATTAACCAGTTTGCAGCATGAAAGGAAAAACCCAGGTGATGGGGAAAGGGGCTTTTCCAATTAGCCTTTCCCCAGGCAGGGCCTGGTGGGGTGCAGCCTGGGGCTGCGCTTTTGCAGCTATGGTTGGTTTGGGGAAGCTGAGCGGGGCTGGGGCTGCTCCTATGCTTTGCTTTTGCAGGGGGGTTGCTCTAGTACAGGGAAAGTGCCAGGGTGGGATTCGAGCAATTTGTGTGCCCAGTGGGCTGGGGAGGGCTGGGGTCAGGGACAGGGACACACCACCCTGCCTCGAGCCCCTCTGCCCAGCCGGGGTGCCCTCGCTCCCTCTCACTGGTCCGTCAGGATGTTGCAATCCCCACCTGATGGCTGCTGCAAGGGGCTTTGGCTTTTGTGAACTGAAAATACTCCTCAAACCACCTCCCATGATAAGGTGCCAGCAGTCTCTGCCCAGCCTTTGGGGATGGGGATCACCACCACGGTGTGGTCCCAGCCCCACAACCAGGATCCCCCTTTCTCCCTCTCAGCTGGGCTTTTGCCTGGTCTCTTCCCGGGCCACAACCCCAGCCACGGAACGGTGGCTGGGAGCCCCTTGGCACCCAGCAGCCTGACTTCTCCTGGTGCTGCTGCGAATTTCATCAGCACCCGTCTGCTGGGGAACCTGCGGGTGCCAGGGATGGCCAGGCAGAGAGATGCTCCAGGGTTCCCCTGGGACTTGGAGCCGGTGGCAGTCTGGGGGCTTGCGGGATGCTTTGGGGGTGTCTGGGTTCCCTGCTCCCAAACCGCCAACCACAGCACTGTGGTACAGGCTGCCCTGTCCCAACACCCCCAAACTCAGACATAATCCACTTCTTCATGACAAGTGAGGGCGAGGCTGAGGCTGGGGCCTGCAGCTGCTGGTATCAGCTCCTGGGGCAGCCGGTGCTGCTGGGTGAGCGCCGACAGTGCTGGGAGAAAGGAGGCTCCTGCATCCCTCCCTGCCAGATGGTCTAAGTGGGTCACATCAGGGCAGCGCAGGGGATTTGTGCTTTAACCCTTAATCCCCCTGGGTGCACTGTGCACAGGGTGGGAGGGAGGGCTGTGTTGTTGAAGTGGGATTAAGCACAGTTTCACTGCCTGGTTTGCCATTGCAGGTGATCTCGGGGACAGGTCTGGGTGCTGCTGCTGTAAACCTCCTGGGACAAGGGTGGCACTGTGTCCTCCCTGGCTGTGCTGGGACTGGGCAAGAGCAGCTGTGGCACTGCAGTGCCAGGGGGTCACAGTACCCCCAGCGAGGGCAGAAGGCGGCTGCAATTCCCCCGTGGCCTCTGCAGTGACTTTTGCCCCAGCAGAGAGTGCCCAGTGGACTGGGGACCAGGTCTCTCCCATCCCAACCTCTGGCTCCTTGGCCATATTTCAGTGACCCTGATCCCCGCTCATCCCCAGCCGGCTGGCAGCCCTTGGGCATCAGTGTCGGGGTGTGCTGCTAGGGAGGAAGAAACCGCTGGTGGCCCTGCTGTGCTGATAGCCCCCCACTCCTGTTAATCCTCCCCCTTGTTGGTCGGGCATCTGCTCTGCGGGAAGAGGCGGCAGCAGGGCCGGCTGCGCCAGCCGCCTGGCTGCCATCTGCTCCCTCCGCTCCCAACGAGCCTGAGCACTAATGAGCCCATGGCCCCGGCCCAAGTGGGGGGAGAGGGCTTGAAAAGAAAAGCAGAGGGGGAGAAGAAAAGCCCCTTCCTTGGAGGGGCTGTCAATAGAGAGGCTTTTGTCTGCCCCTGCCCTCCGGCTCCAGCTGGAC